TTCCTTGTGCAGATGCATCGTATCAAAGTGCTGATGAAGTTTTCCAGCCATTTAAAAATGAAAGCGTACTTGTTTGAAGAGCTTTAAGGATACCTGGAGTGGAAAGAATATCCTCTCTGCTATGAAGAGGAGCTTAGAGTACAAAATAAAATCAGACAGGGTGGTTTAAGTTCAGCTTTTTCTGTCAGGGTGGGAATACCCTGTGGTATAAAGACCGCTGAAGGCTTATCAACTAATGGTTAATGCATGTGTTGAGGCCAGCAGAGGGGAGATTACTTACAACCATCTTGCTCATTTATTGTACTTGAATAATCTAATACATAATTAAGAATTACTTGATTAAGCTATTTATCAAATAGAATATTGTCCAGAAATGTAAATGTAACTTCTCCCTGTACTGCAATATTTCTGCTGCACAAGCATAAACTTCTGTAACTGGTATGGGCCAAGGAAAGCTGCGTTTGGTAGAACCTGATCCAAATGAGGAACCACGTTCAAATTTCCATGGGATGAAAAACTCTCCAGGGGTGTTAGATGTCTCTAGGTGGCTCTTTTTCCTTCCAGTCTGGTTTCACATCTCAGTTTTCTGGTTTCTTCTTTTTCTATTGGAAAAAATTGAACTGCTTTCAAACTGGACGCATCCCTGGCCTTGGGAAAATGAGGATCCAACAGCTGGTAGTTCAGGTCCAGCTACTGGATGTGCTGCGTCGCCTGTACGTGACGTTTGCAGGGCCGTGTACAGACTCTGCTGGGATGTCATGAGCCCAAGAACGTTTCTGTCCCCTTTACCGTCTTTTCAGAGAGACGGATGAGGGAAAATGATACAAAAGCATTGTTTGAGATGGGAGGAGGTGTTGAGGGAAGACTTGAATGAGCAGTGGATTTCAGGGATGAAGGAGGCTCTTGGTAGGCTCTTAGTTTTGGAGGGGGAACAAACAGAAGGAGAACGTAAAACAAGTCCTGCAGCGAAGGTTTATTTTTAAAGCCATTTGCAAATGGGTGGATATTCGTAGCTGGTAGAGACATCGCCGAGACTGTTTGGGAGAAAGCAGGGCAGAGCACAGCGTTTGACTAGGACTCTGCCAACCGTAGGCTTTCACTCCAGATCATTTTCCACCACGGCTCTGGGTCCATGCAGCTGTTTCTTTCCGCTGCTTCCATATTTACACAGTTGCTTTCCAAGAGATGGGGGGGGGGGGGGAAGCTTCTTTAAAGCTACTGACGTGAGGACAGGTCTTTTTAACTTATTTCAGGATGGTTTAGGCTGAGTAAACCCAGCAGATAGATCTTGACTTGGCTCTGTCCCCAGGGCTCTTCCAGCAGGTGATGGACTGCAGCCCAGCAAGCAGGCGCTCCCTTTTATTCCTCCCCGAGTGCTGCCAAGGGGAGGTAGTGCAAGGGGGAAAATATATTTCCTTAGTGATTTTATAGCTTTTGTGGGTATTTGCTGCCTCCTTGTGACGGTACGAAGACGTATGGTGCTGTTCCACTGAAATACAGGGTACTGCGGTGAGCGTTTTAGAAGCAGGTTTTATTAGTCCTTAATTGTTAATTCCGCTCTGTGCTTTCTTCAGAAAGTCTTGGCTGTGGTGCCAGAAGTGAGGCAGGAGAGAGAAACCCGTGACAGACTCTGGCACGTACAATGTCGTGCAACGTTGCACTTCGGAAAGGGGATTGAATGTAAGGATAAAGGTGATCCTCTTAGTTCTCCACTCTAGCTTTCTTCTCCAAGGGAGTAAATGAGTATGTAGGGAGACACCATTTTCAAACCAACCAAAAATATGGATGTTTATGAGTCGCTGGGGTCACTTTTTTCCTAAAAAGGAGCTATCCTCGTAGAAGTTCAGCATGTTTTGACATGTATCTTCAGTTCGGCATGTATGTTTCTGGTGCTGTCTGATAGGTACATGTGAATCATGTCAATCGTAGAACCACGGAGCACGTACGTCTTGTAAGGGTCACCTGCAGAAAGCTGGAGATCTCATTGAGTTTGTTGGCTGTGCATGGCACAATGCACGTTCATCTGTATGCTTGGCCTCCTGAGAAACTCCTCCTGAAGGTAAATCTCTCTGAAATGAGTCTTTATAACACAGAGGTGCTGGAGATTGAGGAAGCATCTTGCCCTTTTCCTCTGCCCTTTGGGATATGGAGGAGGTGGACTCGGATAAGCCATGGCAGTAGTTGTTGCCCATAAGCTGCATCTAAAAGGCTTTATCCTGAGCTGAAACTTCTCACTGGAGTCATGTCGTCAACGCGATCACCCGGCAGGCGTTGCGCCTTGGCAGCCTGTCCTGGGGACTCCTGCAGATATTTTGAATATTGTTGTCTTCATGGTCAAATTAAATGTGGAGCCAGGAGCACTTTTCCCCCGCTGCCTTGAAGATACTGTTTTATTTCCACCCTCCATTTGTACAATGATGTTAAAATGTTACTGAAAACAAAACAAAGCAAAGATTTAGCTCATCATGGTCTTAGCCGTGCTGGTTTTACTTGGATACATTTTGGATTTTTGCTCTTCAGTGAGCACTGTTCTCTTTGGGCCTCAGAGACAGAGCAAATATTGCACCATAGCAAGACTTCAGGTTTCTTTGAGGAAAAGGGAGCTTACAAGAAGAAAAAAAGGCTTACTCAGTGGCTTGGGTAAGTGTGGCGGCATTCATGCCGTGCGGAGCTAACAGGAGTCCCAAGACAAATGCGGACACTCAAAAATGTTGCTAGTCCATCATTCACTTGTGCCTGTTCAGGTGTGGCGTAAGTGGAAATCCATCTAGTCCAAACGTGACCTTGTCCAGGAGAGAAATACCGTTTCCAGGCGGGACGGATAGTCTGCTGTTGGCACTGAATACAGCGGCAGGGAGCTTCGGGAAAGAAAGGGAAAGCTGAATGTATTCAATCCTCAGTCATCAATAATGCATGTTAGCCTCTTTACCAAAATAGCAATTAAAGATTTAATGTGTACGTTTTACTAGTTAATGGGGGCACATTGTTTTTTACTGCAAAAGTCAGTAGTAATCCAGTACCTCTCAAAAAGGAAAATAAAATAGCCATTAAAAATGCTTGTCTAAACTGTTTGTGTTTGCAGAAAAATGGCCAGGCTTTTACAGTCAAATAATGTCAGATTTTAATATTTAGAAAAAATGTGGGGGAAGTGATTTGGAATACATGCCTCTTAAAATGCAAAAGGCCAAACGAATCTCTCCGTGATCCTGCTTAAATTTATAAAGAAATAGGCACCATAGGAGTCTTTAAAAGCTGCGCAGACATTTTAATGCTGAAGTCAAACGAGTGCCAATTTTTTTAATATCGTATACTATATGATAGTAAAACATACTTCTGTACATATCTAAGCTTGAAAAATACAATCGCGTTGCCTACTGGCTGCCCCTTGAGTGTTCGGTGCCCGATCGCATGCAGTTTTCATAATATACAGGCTATGGATAGTGATACGTTACGTACTCAGGAACCGGCTCGCCTCCTCTTGCATCTCAGGGAGTGGGTCCTACTGTCCATCCCTTTTTTAATGAGAAATCTTTCCAAGTCTTTGCACTAATCTGCTAAAGAATTCACCAGCGTAGAGGAGGTCTCCCAGTTGCTGAAGTAGCGCTCGAAGGACAAAACGTGCAATCCCTGCAGCTCGTAGAAGGCAAACGGCATGGCGTTTATGAAGAGAGGGAACGGCGGGGAACTGGTGGGATGAGATGCCATCGCTCATCATCAGCTGTGGTTTTTTTGGTCAGCAGCGTAACTGTGGCTTCACATCCAGGTAGAAGAAGTCATCATCAAGGTCACGGACGTTTGTATGAGTAGGGTGGGAGAGCACAGTGCAAACCACAGCGTTGTTTGGAAATGGGAGGTTTGGGGATCTGCGAAAAAGGATTGAGTTTTGGAAGCAGAGCTAGTTTGTTTTCAAAGGCAGGGACTATTTGAGCGGCCGTGGTCTCTCTCCCACCTTAGTCTTCCCTACGTGGCTGGGGGTCTCCATCGGGAGCCCCAGAACGGCGAGAACCGAGCCGTGCCCAGCGGCAGGGAGAGGGGCACGCCAGTTCCCCCTTCACAGAAATCCCTGTTCAAGCGTACAGAGCACGGTGGTCGGCGTAAATGGTGCGCTTTAGGAAATAAGTCATCTGTTCTGGTTAATCTTCCTTTACATATATGCTCTCTTTACATATATGCTAGAGCGTGGGGAAGGAGGTTTGGAGATGTTTTCTCTTACCCATCAGCGCGGTACTCGAGAAGAGAGGTTTTCACTGGGGTTCAGATATACAAAAGGAAAAATTTCAGTCTTAGAAAGCTTGCGTGCCTTGAAGTTGCTCGTTAAGAATTCAGTGTGATAAGATCATAACTGTCAATAAAGCCAGCTTTTATTATTCCTATTATTATTATTATAACTGCTTTTGTTAAATTTGCTGCTTTGCATTTTCCCTAGAAGTTGATAAATCTCTTCATCCTTTTCTCCTCTTAGATTTAAGAAAAGCAATATAGATTTGGGGAAATCAAGAAATGCCTATAGTTCTGCAACAGCCAGTTAGAAAGAATTCAACTACTGTATACTTTATCTTATTTTTATAATTTGGAAAAGAAAAAATGATCAATTTTCTCTGCTTTGTTCAAGGCTTTTCTTTTTGGGGGTATCCTCTTACTTTAAATGTCGCTGAAGAGAGTCAATACTGGCCTTTCCAATCTGATTAAATCTTTTGGCTTTACCATTCTGATTTCCTGGTGAAAATTGGTGGAAGTCATATAAGGAGGTCAAATCGGTAAAGAAGGAACAACAGTTTTCTCTGCAAATAGATGTACATCATTCCTCACCGGGTGTCATGAGTACTGAACTGTGCAAAACACTTTGTGCTGCTGTATTATCTTTCATCAAAGTCCCTCTAAGTATGATATGAACTTTTAGTCTAGGCTTTTTGATTTGCTCGAGTTTGTCAGCTGCCGTTATGTTACGAACAAGGACAATAAGATATTTTTATGTGTTTGTTTTTTTTTTTCCTTTACAGTTGTTTCCTGTCTTTGCTCCTGGTGGCAGCTGTGGTTTGGAAGATTAAACAAAGTTGCTGGGCATCGCGTCGAAGAGAGGTTGAAATGACAAAATTGAATGCTATCTCTTAAATGACTTTTTTATAGTTGTTCTCTCTTGTATTTAGTCACATATGCATAGCATTAACCTTCAGTTAAGGATAAGCTCCACTAATCTATAAATGCTTCTGTTTAGGGATTTATAATAGTGTACTTTCGTTTACAGTTTCAGTGACAAATGATGCTATTTTAGTATCCTGATGCTGCAGTTTCTGTGAAGCACAAAACATAGGGGCGAATGTCCTGCGTTCCCAGAACTCGGGTTCTAGGCAGCATAAATACAAAACCACCACAAATCAGGAGATTCTTTACATCTGTTTCAAAAGTGCTGAAGCTCTGAACCGCATTAGCTCCTCCTTTAATCTGTTAAAAACCAGGCTAATCCCCATTTTAAAATTAAAAGCTTATTGAAATGGTTTGGTATTGGTTTTGTTGCTGGTTTGGTTTTGGTGTTTTGTTTTTTTTTCCTGGAAAATAGCAGTAAAAGAGAAAGATGGGAGAAACCACCCCTGATTTGGAAAGCTATAGTGTACCACTCAAAAAGGCAATTTCTAGTGCCAGAGCTTTCTCCTCACCAGCTAGCCGCGGCCCATACCAGCTTCCTGACTTTTTCTTGTTTGCAGCCTGTAAAAAACTGTGCGCTTTCCACCCCCCAAAATATAGTTCCTTCTTGTTTATCCCTGATGCATTCGGTGAGTTGTTTTGGGGTTTTTTTACCACTCTATTTTTGTGCTTCTCACCTGAAGCTAATTTCACGTTATAACCTAAACACGCAGGGTGACCGAGACAGGATGGCTAACATGTTGTCACTCAGTAGCATAAAGAATATATCCTTATTTCTGATTTTTAAGCATAAATGCAGAAATGTCTAGCAGAGAGGCGTAGAGGAGCCAGTCCTGCGTGCCACAAGGCAGACGACTGCGTGTTCCTGGGGTTTTCTTGCTGTGGAAAGCACTAAGAGCGTGGGAGGCAGAGCCCTGTAGAATGTACAAATATAGCAGAGGTGAGGCTGGGCTGCGCCTGGGATTAGTTTTAGGAGCTTTGTCTTGTGCAATGTAGTTACCTTTATGCACAATGAGAGAAGCCAGACGTTATTCGAGTGAGTCCACGTGCGCTCTCTGTACGGAAGTGTCTATACCAGATATCTTTTCCTAAGGGGTGAGGTGCGTCTCTCGCCTGCCTTTGGATTTTAGGGTGAAATCTGCCCATTCCCATCGATTTTCTTCCCAGCTCTCCTGCTGGGATGAAGCTCTTGGTGACTGGACACCCAGCCATGTAACTGTTCTATCCAAGGGTGTTTTATTCATTCGTTGTAGATGAGCCGGAGTATTCTGGGGGTTAATTTTTATAGTGCTGGAAATTCTGTACAAGTGCCCGTTTCTTGCATATCTTCAAAAAAATCTCTATCTGGTTGTACTTTCCAGTGCAGTAGTGGGAATAATATAAATTTATTCAATCTGAGGATCTCTTTTCTTATAATAAAGCAGGATGATGTCTGATAACTCTTTTCCTCTTCTTCTGCTTCAGATGTTTTTAATCTTTCTAGTGAACTCAAATGCATAATAGAATCAGTGGTTTTCAAACAGATAACCCTTAATCTTTGAAATAATTTAAGTCTTTGAGGTTTTCTATATTCTCCGAAGGTAGATAAATTTTTACTAGGGCGGCTGATTTTTTCCTTCTCGCTTTCTTGGCAAGAAAGTAAGCTGGAGTCAGCATAACATTCCCTATTGGCTCCTGGGTTAAATGTTATCTAAGAATGTATGAGGAATATAGACTGAGAAGTAAATACTGTGCTTTGGAGCTCAGGTAAAATACTTTAGGAGTGGCCTAAATGAAAAATGTCTCTATAAATTAAGTTACTTTCAGACTGTTGCTTGTTTTAAGGAAAAAATCTGGAGTACTAGCAACGTATTGGCATGGTTTAGTCTTAAATTGAGTTTACTTGCGTGGCTATTTGACGGGCAGTTCATCAATGTGTTCTTTTCCTGGTGGATTCCTGTCTTTTGCTGTTATTTGTCTTGCTCCTTCTTCACATCTAGCGACTTTATCTTGTAGTTCATAGACCTCTGCTATTGCATTCCTCTTTTGTTAGAAATACTTTTTAAAATCTTTGCCATGCCATTATTAGATATATTAGTAAAGACTGTCTCCAGATACAAAAGTCTGCCCAAAAATTCTTTGACTTTTTGGTATTATCTAAGATGATTTTATAGCTTGCAGGGTTTTCTTTTATACGGACTCCCGATAAATCATAGCAAGGCTCTCTTTAAACGTTAATAGTTAAAATAAAGATTAATAACAATGGGCTACGCTGCCAGTTTTAAGTGTGCACAAGTTTACCCCCTCTGTTGTTTGAGGCGTGTGATTTTTTTAGATTTGCCATTCGTCCTTCCTTTGGAGATGGCAGCTCTCTTTGATTTTCTCCATTACTCTAGAGGAGACTTGGGTCACAGAGTTTGCAGGCTGGACTGAGAAAAACAGATTTTGTTTTATCACTTTTTTTTTTTTTTGGTGCCTCTATAAACTTCTGACACTCTATAAAGCCTCCTCCCCCTCCTCCCACCATATTACAAATTAGAGGCTAGGTGAAAGGAAAGATGATTAAGCAGCAGTGGCAGGACATCCGATTCAGACAGCGTATTGTAAATGTGAAGTTAATACATGCTCCAGCCCCGGAGGAAGATATTTCTCTGGTTTGGGCTATATTTTTAGAAGCAGTCAAGTTACAGTCGCCTGTCTCCCATGGGTTGTGCTGTAGTAATTCTGTGCTTGTTCTCTAATCTTAACCCAAAAGTAAGTAAAATATAATTCAATCTGCAGGTAATTCCCAGCTATCAATCACTTCTGCTTCCAATATAAGCTTTGCAAGTGCCTAACTTCTTATCGCAGTGCAGAGTGAAAAGTAGATAGCTGAAGCTTAATCTGAGATATGTATAGGACAGGAAAAGGAATGTGTTGAAAGGTCTAGTAGTCAAAATTATTCAGATGGTATTGCTTGGAAAATGTGTTGGGAGCAGTACAGCTGTGCTTGGTATATCAGGTTAATGGAACAGAGCATCAGCATTTGGCTGAAACCAAATTTGCATTATTCCTTACTGAGAAAGCAGTGTGCTACGGATCCAGAATCTACATCAGGATCTTGTAAAATACATAAGATTCCCCTGATTTTTATTTTCGTTTCTGCAGCTAATCCTTTCTGACCGGCTGCCTGCACATGTCGATGCTGATGTTGCTCAGCCTTAAGGCGAAAGGATCTTTTTGGGGTGCAAACGCGGCGTAGCAATTGTATAGTTGTAGGAAAATGAGTTTGGAGCACTGAGCAAAAGTTCAGGCCTTGCAGAGTATAAAACTTGACCTGAAGTAAAAATGGGAACAATTTGTGTCATATCAGGCATGGAGGAGATGGGATTGTAAATTGTGTGTTTATTCCCTCTCCAGCGAGCTCCAAGTTTAAGTATCTTCAGACATCTTAAAGAGGGAAAATGGAAATAAAAAGGCAGCTTTTATAGGAGGCTTAGGATGAGGTGAATGACATTAGGAAATAGGGATAGGAAACCTTTCTATCTTGTTTCTAGAAAATGACACGTTAAATATATCAAGGTGGTAATAGAGAATAATGCACAAAATACGAGAGTGGCATTAGAAATTTAATATGCTCATCTGCTGTCATGAATTCTCTGTCCTATTGTTTTATTTCAGCATCAAAAATCCTATTCTCTTCACCCTCACTCTGCTTCGTCTCCTCCACTTTAGCGAGAAATAGGTCCTCTTAACATTTCCAGCAAATGGAGCGTGGACAGTGATTTGGCCGACCCCGTGTAAGTGTCTGTGTGAGGGTCACGCTGCCCGTGCCCCATCGGGGTGTGCTGGGAGCATCGACACCAAGCACGTACAGACATAGCTAACTGTGGGTGTCTAGAGCTCAGTTGCACCTTTACGTACCTAAAATTGTCAATGTTTTGCCTCCTTTCTTGCTAAGACTATCCAGGACTGAGCATTTTTACTCTGTGCACAGCCCAACTCATTCAGGATGGGTTTTATGTATGGATTTACTGCAGGGTTTATCCTTCTCCTTCCTGACCTCATTGCTGAAACCTTTTTCCCTCCCAAGTGTATTCGCAATGTAGCAGTGCTTCTTTTTTCACTGGCATCCTCTGCTGTAACGTCCGTGAACACTGAATACCATTTAGGCAGGAGGTTTGCTGTGTTCATTTTTACGGCAAAGACTTTCCAAGGGATGTGTGCGCTTTGTATTATTTATTGCCCTGCCTTCGTTTTCTTCCCCTTCCTGCTCTCACCTGTTAGTATTTCATTCATCTCTTATATCTTCTCTCAGACTGTGATTTAGGGCATCCTTTGTCAAAGAACAGGATTCAGGATTGGAATATTTTCAAACTGTAACTGTAAATCAGGATCTTCATTGCTGTCTAGAGTCTCCAGTGGTGTTTTGGAAGGATCTGCTATCGACTTTATGCAGGAACATTAAAAGGTCAGGCTACAAATATCCCTAGATTTGGGCGGTCCCAGGTGCTTTGGAGGGCTTGTAAGAAATGAGATGTGCCGGAATTTGCTGCTGGTTCTCCAAGCTCCCGGCAGTCATTCGGCACGTACACCACCTTGTTCGACAGCACCGATGGCGCTAGTCAGTGTCTGTCAGCCGAGAAGAATATATTAACTACTGGTTGGTGTAGTTTGTAGAGGAAACGTGGAGGAGTGAGAAATCATGGCAGGCAGATGACCTCTGCGGAGGTCTGGATTACGTGGTCAGCACACTCAGTTGTCTCATCGGGGTGAAACGTAAGCCTGTGTATGTATTTTTTTTTAAAACAGTTAGGGTGAGTTTACATCCCAGAATACCTATTCCCTGGACAACAGACTGAAATGATGGTGGCCGCGGGGATTTAATAACTGCACGTAAATTTCCAGTTCCAGCATTTGTAAGTAGAGTAATAAAATAAGAGCCTAGTGTTAGCATTGTGTGTAACCGGTTATTGGAT